ACACATCTCTGTTTTGGATACCAACTTCCTCAAACTCCCATGTGGCATGCGCATAACGTCAATGACCTTGGCATAGCGGCCTCCTAACCACGGTTTCAAAAGCGGCTCTGATGACAAACGCCGGGATCTAACTGGACTGCTAAGAGTCTCGGCACCCACATGACACTCCCCCTGCAATTGCCCCGAGCATAAGCCTTGCATGTTGCCAATTCTATCTTAGCAAGTGATGAGATGCTTAATTGAAATCCCCTTTTCGAAGGTTCTCCCTGAGCTTATCCGATTCAAGATTTGCCTCCGTTCTCTGCTTCGACTCCTTTTCCTCAGCCTCTGAGAAATTCCTCAAAAAGGTTTGACACATTGTGTGGGGTAAGACCCAGGACTTGCCTCGCCTTTTGCTCAAATTCGTTAAAAAACATCTCAAAGTCATCTCGATTTATCTTGTTCAAATCTTAGACGGTAAGCATCCCCGGTCACCAATCTGATACCTAGTCCTATGTTGCCGTACGTTCATTGAACACACAAATCATATTCAAGTTTGAATACGCTTCAATCACGTTCAAAGAATGCGCTGAACACATTGAACTCCCACCCAGTAGACCAAAGAAGGCAAAAAAAAAAAAGTCAAAATTATGTGATAGCTTGCATGGTATTGCGTAATTTTGAACAGCATTTGTCTGGGACACATGTTCAAATTTGCCAGATTGTGAACCACAAAATAAAGCCGTACACAAAATTACCAGTTTAAACTTTAAAAGCTTCATCCATATATAAACTTTAAAAGCTTCATCCATATATGCATAGAACTCAAAGGGGCCTTGCCGTGATGTACATGTTCTGGGCCAAGGCCCCCAGCAAGCATCGTGATGTACATGTTCTGGTACCAGTTTAAACTTTAAAAGCTTCATCCATATATGCATAGATAAATCTATACATTTGTAGATTGTGTGAGGATTGAGCCCTCAAAGGGGCCTTGCCGTGATGTACATGTTCTGGGCCAAGGCCCCCAGCAAGCATCGTGCCCGCCTTAAGTGAAGGCGGGTCTGCAAATCAACGAGAGCCCTCTGTTCAAACATTTCACGAAGTGGGGTCCATACAGTTGCCGCACGCCAGTTGGTTGGAGTGCACCGAGTACCGGATCTCTGCAAATGCAGAAGGACCAGGGCCCTTCAGAGTTGGTTAGGCGCTGGGCACATAAACGTGAGGCCGACATTGCATGCTGGAAATAGAGGCCGAAAATGCCAATAGGAAACCGGTCCACTATCTGAATCTGGACGCAGGCCTGGATGAAAGAGGCACAACTGTACTTCGTGGGCCCCAACCGCATTGGGCCTGGGTACAGGTACTGGGGCCCAGGCGCAGGCTCAGGAGAGGCCGCCCACACGCAACACTGGCATATAGGCAGAGAGGGCGAGTGGGTGGGGATCTTGGCCAATGCAGGCATTGCGGGCACGCTGCTGCATTGTAGCGCTAGCACTTGCGCTGCGCAGTGGCTGAGAGAGGCAGGCTAGCGCTAAGCGGTAGAGTGCAGCCTGGGCGCAGGGCGTTGGCGGCCATAGCCGGGCTGCCTGTGGGCGCAGAGGGAGGTGAAGGGTGAAGGGGGTTCTTCGGAGGTGAAGGGCGCTGTGTGGGATAACAAGGGAGAGTGAGGGTGAAGAGAGAGACGTACCTGGTGGAGAGGAGGTCGGCATTGGTGTTGACGTCATCACTCGCTGGTCGTCAAGTTGTCTGGTTGCTTCCATGCTGTAGTTGTAGTATTAGGCTGTAGAGTAGATAGGGCGCCTGGCGCCATTCAAGTGAGAGAGCTACATTGGGTATGCTGTTGGTGTTGCCCCGATTGGGCTTGGACATTGACTCACGATTCTGCTGTATCGTTCTCAAATGGATGGTTACTTGGTTCCATTGTGCTATCTGCTCTTGCTTTGACTACTTGAACATCAGTGTGATTTTGCGATTTGGATTTCTGTGCTTCGTCCACATTCATGTTCCTTGCATTTTGGTATCGTAGCTGGTTCGATTCGCCACTTACCTTGGTGCGCTGGCGTTATACAGACTTGGTGCGTTGACGATGCTTCTTCGCAGTTGGTTCTTGTGACGTCAGGCCAACATTAGGCGCACGACCTGGGTAGAGAGGTGTGCGCCGGAAGGCTATACGGCATGGGATGYCGTGGTTACGGCGGAATGTATGATTGGTGATGAGAGCATGCTGATGTGGCATTTAGCTGAGGGGGCACTGCATCGCGTTGTGGGTGGTACCTAGGCTACGACCGGTCATCAAATGCACACTCAGCTCAATTGGTGAGAAATCTGTGGTTGGGGGGCAGCTATCTCCGGGTACGTTGTTCCCTTACCTTATCTACTCTCTTAATCTCTTCTTACCGCGAGGAAGTGAGTCCAACTTGAGAGTCCTCTCTTTTGGTGAGGTGTCGTGAGCGCGCTACCTTGAGAGACGACAATCTTCCTGGTGAAGCATCTGGAAGGAGAAAGGGCGGTGCCTCTAAAGGGCCCTGGTCGAAGCACATGGGTCACGGTCACCATGCCAACCCAAAGGGATTAGAACACGCATGCGATGGCTGCTTTGTCCTTGAGGGCACTTTTGCTGCGCTAATAGAGGGGCGTGCGGACTAAACAGGCTTATGCAGACGCTCCCAGACCGTCTATAAACATTTCTGGACGCGGTTCCGATCTGATATTGGTTGTGATCGTCGTCCTGATTGCGGCGTTAAATAATTCCTGAGCGACCTTGGGGGCAGTCCTTAAATAGGCCTCTTGATCAGCCAGATCATTCAGACATACGGCTCGTTGCACGCGAGGATAAAGAATGGGCAAGCCTGGTCATAAGCATGCACCTGGGGCACAGGTGTGGGCCGACATTGCACACCTATGACACTGCTGCTCTTGATGCTCATCGGTATGTTGGATTGAGGGGAGGGTAGGTTCTAATTGGTGCTCAACTGTTATCACAACTATATCCACTGTTCATACTATTTCGGCCTCTGCGCAACTAAGGAAATTCAGGCAGTTGCACAGCGCCAGTTGGTTGAGAAAACCCAGGCCCTGGGCCGCCTGTGTGAATGCATGGAAAGCAGGCCCTGGGCTGGATACGGGTACTGGGCCAAACACATGCCAAAGGCAGTTGGGTGCATGCAACCACCTCAGGCCCCAGGCCTGTTCTCCATCATGCTGGGCCTCAAGCTACCGGGGCCTACTGGAAGCTTCCTGTGACTGGACGCAGGCAGGCCACTTCGATATAGCAAAGGGCCTGCATCCTCATTCGGCATTTGGGTGCTGGCTGCATGCTGCGCAAGTGCTGCTGCGCTATTTGCTGGCTGGCGCCTACACGCTCACGGGCGAGCAGGGAAGGAGCAGGCAGCCATAGCCGAGCTGCGCTGATGTAAGCTGGGTGTGGCACAAGGTGGTCCTTGGGTGCAAGTGGCATCTGTGTGTTGGGGAACGAGGTTGTGAGTGAGGCGAGAGACATACCTGGTGCTGGAAGCGTGCGACATTGGTCGGTGTCTGCTCGTACTTCGGGAAAGCTGTTGACGTCATCATTCGGCATTGTAGTTTAGGCTAGATAGGATCTGCCATCTGTAGTCTGGGCGCCGAGCGCCAGATAGGATATCAACATTGGTTCTTCATTGATGATGATCATGAGACTTTACCAGCATTGTCAATGATGAGCTCTTGGCGTCTTCTTATTTGGTGAAACTCGTGATGCAATTCTGCTGTTGGTTCGAGGTCACGACTATCTGGTCTTTTGTATATGATGTTGTTTGATTGCTGAAGTTCGCTATTGCTCATCTTCCTTGCAATTTGGTATCAGAGCTGTGGTACGATTGCGCTCATCTGGCGCTTGTCTTCTGCCTTATGCGGTACATATGTCCGGTCTGCTTGGCGAGTTTGGCCGTAAGTGGTGTGCAGTGAGGAGGGTGGAGACGAGTGATAGGCGACCCAGGACGTGAGGGGATCGCCAGGAAGGCGACGTGGTGTAATGTGGGTGTTGGACAGTGTGATGAGAACTATCTAATGTGCGATTGGTGCTGAGGTGGAACGGCGTGCAATGCTGGTTGTGCCGAAGCAATGACTGGTCATCACAATCGGCATCTGGTCATCTGGTGAGATTATCTYTGTGGTTGGGGGCAGCTATTTGAGGTACGTTGCTCTTAACCTTATCTACCCTCTTCGACACTTCTTACCGTGAGGTTGTGTGTTCCTTCTTGAGAGTCCTCTCATTGTGAGGTGTCGAGTGCGCTCAACCTTGAGAGTCGGAAATGTTCACGTGGAGCATCTGGGAGAAGATGGGCGGAGCTTTCTGAAATCCTGGACGAAGCACTAGGAGTAGAGCACGCATGCTTTGCTGCTTGTCCTTTGTTTGGCTTGCTGCGTTGTTAGATGGGTGCTGAAGGGCAGGCCAGCCCTAAGTGGGAGACGAGAACCGGGCGTCTTTAAATAAACACCGGTAGGGGAAACCATTGGCTGTGATCGTCGTCCGGCGGCGACGTAAAATAATTCCTGGAGTCACTTGGGGGCGGACGTTAAATTGCCTCTGGATCAGCCAATGGTTGTAAGGCTCGCTGCACGCGGGGATAATCCAGTGCAGGGCTGGCCAGCTCAGCAGACACTCGGGGCACAGGGATGGGCCAAACACACACCTTTTAGACACGCAACGCTCTCCGGATTGCTCAGGGACGCTGACGTCAAGTGACATTCAGGGGAACTAAGGGAGGGGTAGATTTCAGGTGATAAGTTAAGAGTAAAATTCCATACTGTCCTATCCACACAAATTATTCTATTTTTATGTATTGATTTGTTAGATGTACAACCATTTGACATCAGATAGACAGCATAGTAGAACGGTATTTTGTTCATTGTGCATTCTGTTCGCAGACTAATCAGGCTAAAAATAGTTTTGTTTGTAGGAATCTGACTTACCGTTGACCCCAAGTGATATCTACTCCTAAATAGCCACGAATTAATTAGTTGGTCTGTGCACTACGCTGCGGTAGGCATCCAATGTGCATTAGTGCAGGTTGTGTACAGTGCTGTAGCTTATGAGCGATGAGGAGGACACTAGAGAGGACGACCGGATCTTGCGATCGGCAAGGCGCCCGATTGCCCACTTGGCATTAGGACCAGAGGGTGACAGGTACCTGTTCCGCCAGCGTAGAGAGAGGTTGCAGCAGAAGAGGAGGGCTAGAGCAGCAGAGGCTAGCCGTGCACTTGTGAGTGAAGCCTCAGCTTCAGAAGCTATGGCTACTTCTGCGCAGCAAACTACTCAGGCCGGCAGTTCAGGATCTGTCGGGTCAACGGTCGCGCAGACCCGGTGTCAGTCCACTGGCGTAATGGCAAGCCAGCCCATAGTGTTGACTTCAGATGAGATCGCCATACAACAAGCAGCATTGCAGGAGGCACAACTACAAAAGGCATTAGGAGAGATAAAAGCGGAGAAGGAAAGAATGATTAGAAGAAGAGCCAGGATGCAGTGGAGACAAGCGGACGTTAGTGAGTTAGAGGAGATGGACTTGACGCACGTGACTGATGACGTGAGGATCGTACGGTCCGTCCTACTAAATGTAGTTGAAATGCAGGACCATCAGACAACCATCCTTCAGGATATTCAGCAAAGTCTGGCCCTGTTGGTTAGGCGAGCGCAGGCAACGTCGCCAATGTCCGGGCCTGGTGCCTGGCCCGTTGTACAACCTCCTCCTTTTGTCCCACCGCTGACTGGGTTATCCCCATATGCAGCCCCATCATCGGTCGCGATCGTTTCCCTGGGCATGCCGCTATCAGGAGGGGTATCAGCAGGATCTAGTTTGCAGGTTCATGTACAGACAGTGTTCACCCAATCTCCGTTGCAGGTTGCAGTTACCACGCAGCCTGCTGTCTTGCAGTTTGTACAGCCGCAGGGTACACAGCCCCAACAGCTAGCACATCAACCTGTGTCGCAGGGTCCACAGCCCAGAGTGATGCAGGGACCGGGACAAACACAGTGGGTTCCAAAGACGGCCATCGCCGCTCCCAAACCTTTCACAGGGGATAAGAGGGGGGAAGACCTCGACACGTGGTTGAGGGCAGTGCTGGTCTATGTCAAGTGTAAGCTTACCTTGCCGCACGAGGAAGTGTTTGTGTTGCATCCTATCTAGAGGGTAGTGCAGCACGATGGTTGAGCGGTTTGGTGCAACTCCAGGGATATGGTCATGACTTCCGCTCTTGGGCAGCCCACCAGAAACTAGAGGACTTCCTCAAGATGGTGGAGGAAAGGTGGCATGATCCTCAGGAGGCTAAACAGGCCACTGAGGCGATCTTGACACTGCACACGAGGCAGTTTAAGTCTATCAGGGAGGCCACCGACGCTGTAGAGCGTCTGATTTGTGTCCCTGGGGTGCGCTATGACCCCCAGGTTTTACTCACCTCCTACCTGAGATGCTTTCCAATGCCTCTCAGGAATCAGTAGGCAGGTGAGGCCAACATCAACGTTCACAACTTCCCCTTGTTCAGCAAGAAGGCCCTAGACCTTGAAGCGAAGATAGGGCATGGACATAATCCCACAACGGACGGTAGGGAGAAGACACTGCCTCCCAACTAGAAGGCGAAGGGCCGTATTATGTTTGTCGATAATGATGGTTCAACCATCGAACTAGACAACAACTTCCAGGAAGGAGTAGGTTCAGAGGCTGGCAGCGTAGAAGCTTCAGAGGGTGGAGTAGTCGCTGTCGTATCTCCAAAAGGTAAGGCGACCGGTAGACGCCGTGGAGGTTCCCGGTCTAGGAGTCAAGTTGACCCCAATGCTCCTCCATGGGAGAAAGCGGTTCTCACAGAGGACGTGTGGAGAGATCGGTACACACTGCAGGCTTGTATTCGTTGTGGCCAATACGGCCATAACCAATTCAAGTGTCGAAACAAGAAGGTGACCGAGAAGATCCCGCCTACGATGGGGCAGGCGTTGGGATCCTCCCACCCCGTTGGTAGCAACGTGGCTAGTACTTCTGGCAGTGCTCCGGGAAACACGTCGGGCCAGTAGGAATAGTAGCTGTTCCTGCTAGGGTCGAGGTGGTGGAGACACCCTCACCATCTCAAGAGATGGCCCAAGCTACTGACTCCAGCGTCGTCCCACAAACACGTTTAGACCCATGGAGCCTATGTTCGATGAATGTGTTTGAGTCCTTAGAGGAGCTAGAGGAGTGGTCTAGATCAAACCCGCTAGCTTCTTGGACGGCCCTAGTCAAAGCCCCGAAGGGTGAGATGTTCGTCAGCGAGGTGGTCATTTGCGGCCGCAAGGCCGGGGCCTATTATGACACTTGCTCGACTAGGAGCTTTATTAGTCGCGCATGCTTTGAAAGGCTGCGCTTACAGGGGCAAGTGTAGCGCCTGAGTCGACCTGTGGAGTCGACTTGTGCCAACAAACAGCGCATGGTAGTCAACGTCTACCTTCAGGATGTTGAGTGTTGTTTCCTGTACGCGGGGGGGGAATTGAGACATCGTGTCTCGTTCCTAGTGAGCGATGAACTCCCCATGGACATGTTGTTAGGTATGTACTACCTCTCTGTGGCACAACCCCAGTTTGACTGGGACCGAAAAGTGGTCAAGCGCACTTTGCCAGGTGGAGGGACCACCAGATTACATAAGTTTAAAGCTAGTAGTCTGATTGAGTCCCATGGATGCTTGTGTGCAACCGCGTTCTATAACTATTATAAGCAAAATCAGGAGGAAGGTATGTACTTAGTTTATGTCTCTGCTGCAGGCGAGCCGGTGAAAATGCCGACGGAGATAGAGGGAGTAGTTGCCAAGTACCCTGATCTATTTGAAGAGCCGACAGGGGTTGTAGAGAGGGAGGTCATCCACGCGATAGAGATTATCCCAGAGTCTAGTATCCCGAAGGGTAGGATCTATCGGATGTCTCCAGGCGAGCTCGATGAGCTTCGCCGACAACTCAAGGAACTCGTAGAGAAGGGTTGGATCCGGCCGAGTGTCTCTCCTTATGGGTCTCCAGTATTATTTGTTCCTAAGAAAAAGGAGGGAACTCTGAGGATGTGCATTGACTGTAGGGGCCTCAATGCCATCACTGTTAAGAATAGAGAGCCCCTACCGCGCATCGATGATTTGCTAGATAGAGTGCAAGGGTGTCGGTACTTCAGTAAGATAGATCTGAAGTCTGGGTACCATCAGATTGCAATCTGGCCTGAGGATCAACACAAAACCGCATTTCAGACCAGGTACTGTTTGTACGAGTTTGTAGTGATGCCTTTCGGCCTTTGCAATGCTCCTGGCACCTTTCAGCGCGCTATGAATCGGATATTCCAGGACTACTTGGATAAGTTTGTCATCGTGTACCTCGATGACATACTTATTTTTAGTAAGACTGTCGAGGAGCACGTTGCACACTTGGACAAAGTCCTTAGTCTCCAGCGACAGCACAAGTTCAAGATCAACGGTGAGAAGTGCGAGTTTGGCCGCACCCGTGTCTTGTACTTGGGTCATGATATTTCCGCGGAAGGGTTGAAGCCCGATGACGCGAAGGTGGCCAGCATTTGTGACTGGCCGCGTCCTCAGTCTGTGACTGAGATGAGATCTTTCTTAGGGATGACCGGCTACTATCGCGACTTCGTGGAGAACTATAGCATAGTTGCCACCCCTTTGACTGATCTGACCCGCCTTGACACCCCATGGGAGTGGACTGAGAGATGCGAGGCTGCTTTCAGACATCTGAATCATGCGTTGACGCATTACGAAGTCTTGAAACTTCCTGATCCTGACAAGCCATTTATAGTGACTACAGATGCTAGCCAATATGGCATAGGCGCCGTACTTGCACAACAGGAGGGGAAAAAGTTAGAGGCCAGTTGAGTACATGTCGAAGAAAATGCCGTCTCAGAAGTTGGCTAAGTCCACCCATGAGAAGGAACTCTATGCAGTTTACAAGGCTCTGACCCATTGGAGGCATTACCTCCTTGGGAGGTTCTTCATCCTCAGGACTGATCATCAGACCCTGAGATGGATGAGAACTCAACCGGTACTCTCTGACGCTCTCAAGCGTTGGATCGAAGTCATTGAGGAGTATGACTTCGAGACCCAATACATCAAGGGCGAGTACAACAAGGTTGCTGATGCCTTGTCCCGTAGACCTGATTTCTCAGGTGCGCTGATTACTGAGTTCAATCTTGCGGACAATGTTACTCAGTCTTTGGTGGAAGCCTATCGCGAGGATCCGCTCATGTCTGAGATCATCCGCAGACTCGAGGCGAAGGACAAAGTGACTTCTCCTGAGTTTGAGTTGGTCAACGGCTTGCTGTTCCTTGAGAAGGCTGGTAATAAACGTTTGTGTGTCCCAAATAGCGAGTCTTTGCGTAGTTTGTTTTTAGGCGAGTGCCATGATGCCACTGACCATTTTGGGTACAAGAAGACCACAGCCAATCTGCTGCAGCAGTTCTGGTGGCCCACATTGATGAGAGATGGTAAGTTGTACGTGGAGACTTGTCAGGTCTGTCAGAGGGACAAGCTACGTACTCAGGCTCCTTTTGGGCTGCTGAAGCCCCTTCCGATTCCAGAAAGGCGTGGTGAGAGCCTGTCCATGGACTTCATGGATACGCTGATCACCAGCAAGAGTGGAATGCGCTACATCTACGTCATTGTGGATAGGTTTAGTAAGTTTGCTAGATTAGTTGTGATGCCGGCAACAGCTAAAACGGAGTATGTGATTAAGATGTTCAAAGAGAATTGGGTTAGAGACTTTGGATTACCTAAGTCCATAGTTATTGACAGGGATGTCAGATTCACAAGTGAGTTGTGGAAAGCAGCAGCTGCAGAGCAAGGTACGCAACTGCAGATGACATCAGGCAATCGTCCTGAGGCAGGCAATCATCTTGAGGCAAACGGGCAGGCTGAACAAATGAACCGCGGTGTACAACACCTGCTAAGGCATTACATCAAGCCAAATCAAGTAGATTGGGATGAGAAACTTGCTCTCATCACAAGTTTGTGCAATAACGCTGTGCACAGTGCAACCGGAGTCAGTCCTAACAGCCTGCTACTGACCTTCAGACCCCGACTGCCTTCAGACTTTCTACTACCTGACAATCAGCCAACCGCTGCACCTGGGACTTCAGAGTTTGCTTATCGATATGAGTACCTAATGCAGCAGGCTGTTGAACAGATGCACAAGGCACAGACGGCGATGATAGAGTCTGAGAACAAACACCGCCGCCCCTCTACGTTTCAGATAGGAGAGAGAGTCTGGGTCAAGTCCTCCGAACTGGGACAGGAGCACGGGATCTCCCTCAAGCTCATGCCACAATACTTTGGACCGTGGGAAGTATTGGATGTCGTGGGGAATGAACCGGATGGCCCGTCTTATGTTATTCGCATCCCTGGTCACTTACGCACTTACCCTGTCTTTCACGCCTCCAAGCTTGCACCTTTCAAGGAAACAGATCAGTTTCCATCTCGTCGTTCAATGCTGCCCCCAACCATGGATGGAGAGGTCGACATCGACGATATTGTTGATCACCGAGAGCTGCCAGTTCCAAGAACAACAGGCAGGGGACGTCCTCCGAAACCGAAGCTGCAGTACCGCGTTCGGTTCCGACATCATACTGATCCKAAGGAGGACCGCTGGTTTACCAGGGAGGAACTCATGCAGACCGCTCCACAAGTTGTAGCCCACTACGAGAAATCTCTGCAGAAAGGAAAGCGCCCGATGGTCGAAGACTGAGCTTCTCAGAGGACTGTTGAAGCTAAGGAGGAGGGAATGCGAGGCCACT